TCCAGGGTACCGGCATTTCTGGGGGGTCTCTGGCTCCAGCAAGGCCCCTGTGCTCAGGGACACGTTATCTGACATCCTCTCATCATCTGACATCCCTTCCCTCCGAGTGCTACACCTCCCTCCCCCAGCTCTTCACCACAATACCCACCATTTTCCACCATCATTTAAGTTTCCGAAGTAATTTCTTTTTTCTTTTTTTGTCCTTTTTTTTTTTTTTAAAAAAAAAGCAAACCATCTACCATATGTTCTCCCCTGAAAGGGGTAATTGTTAACAGATCATTAAAACACCGTGGCGAGTGCTCTGAGATTCCTTCCCTCAGTCTTACGCATTATCCCGTCTCTGTCACCCTTTCAATGCGGCTTTGAGGGCTCTGCTTTTCTAACTTCCTCCTCGGGGAGGGGGGGGAAAGAAGAGAGAAAGAGCCACTAAAATGACCCTCTTCACAGCTCTTCTCCTTGCTTTTCAATGTCTTTTTCGACACCCAACAATAATTGGGGTGGGGGGCTGGCGTGCCGCCGCTGCTGTCACCAGGCTGGGGGTGGGCCACATCCTGCCCCGTTCACAAGGTGCCAGGGTCGAGATGGCAGGACAAGGCGTGACAGGGGTGCTGCAGGCACCCCGTGGGCACTGACAGCCTCTCCTTCCACTGCCGGGCAATGAGGCTGCTTGCCATGGGATGCTCAAACAGCACATCCCATCCATCCTGGTCCCTTTGTCCCTGCTCCTGGGATGGGGGCTGTGCAATGACCCCATGACACACACACGTATCCTGGGCTGAGATAGAGAGTGTTCCTGACAGAGCTCATTTCCTCAGGTGGATCAGATGCTTTCTGCAGCACAAATACATTTTATATGGAAATAACCTAACAGCTGGCTGGGAACAGAACGAAGCCCAGACATGGAGCTGTCGGGGGTTTTGGATATTTCACCTCCCTTTTCTGAAGAACCAACACTATTTTAGGAAACGCCAAATTATGGGAAGCTGGGGACCACTTCTACCTGAGCCATGGTCTCAGCTGAGGGAAGCACAAGCACAGCACCAGCATCTGTCCCCTTTGCTGGGACAGGGACCTTCCCAGAGCTGTGCCCACTTGCTTCCCAGCCCCATGTGCAGGGAGAGGGACCCTGGGAGGGCTCCTTGGATGAGCCAAGAGGACTTGCAGCTGCACAGTGCCTCACCACCAAGGGCAAGGAGAAGACCCAAGAGAGGCAAAGGCACATCCCAACAGCAGCACTGCACGTGCCTGATTCCAGTGTGAGGGCTGCCAAACTCACCATGAGCACCAGCAGCAGCGGTCTGGGGTTGAGGGTCACCTCCTACAGGCTTGTGATAGGAAAGATCAAGGCTTTCAGAACTCACACTGAAGTTCCTTACCTGCATCTTCTCCCCTTCTGCCATGGATTTGGCCGTCCCTCCAGAGGACCATGTTCCCTGACTCATCACAGCCTGTAGCCAAGCTTCAGGCATGGTTTGCACTGCTCCTCTGGCACAGCCACTTTTCCCAGCCCCAGCATGAGGCCCTTTGAATTTGTACTTACCCATCCCAGCCAAGGAGTGTGCTGCACAGCACCCAAGAGCACACAATACCCACCCTGGGAGAGATGGGGAAGAATCAGCTGTCCCAGCCAGCAAAACCCAGTTATGTTTGAAAAAACACAGAAACTTCCAAGTCCTGCACACAGATGTCTCCAAGAACCAATAGTCCACAGCAGCTCAGCAGCTCTGCCAGTGCCTACACGTAGCTCCAGGGACCTCAGAGAACTCCTTCCTCTTCTGACACCCCAGTCTGTTTCCCCAGCACCCTCCAAACCCCTCAGGGAGTTGCTATGCTTATTTTCACCCAGGAAGCTGTAGCCTCAAGCTGGAATTGATGGTGCTGCTCCTGCTTTGCTCCAGCCAAGGGATCAGCCCTGCACAGATCCCACTGCACAGTCCCTGAGCATCCTTGGGAGCACTGTGGCAAGAGATGCTCAGCTGGTGCCAGGAGCTCCTTGTGCTTCCCCAGGCAAAACCTCCCATCCCAGAGGCCGTGGGGCTGACCCAGAGAAAATGTCCAAGCAGGGCTGAGCACTGGGATGGGGCTGGGATCAGCAAACCAGTACCCAATGCCCAGGGGGATGAGGTGGCGTTGCCCTGGTGTGCACATCCCAGGCAGATCAGCTCTTTTCCAGGATGGCGGCTTTCACCTCTTCATCAAGGACAAAACTTTCCATGGAAAAAAAGTACCTCCTTCAAAGAGCATCTTGGAAACAGGCTGGAAACGGCTCTCACTTTCCCGAGTGAATTTAACAGCTGCCTTTGCCAAGGGCTCTTCCTGCTGCTGTGGGGCCAGATGTAATCCCTTAGAGCTGCAGAGACACCCATCAGGCCAGGAGCTGAACTTCCCAAGCAGTACTTCTATCCCAAGTGCAAAAAGAGATGGAGCTGCATCAGTTTTAAGCAGCACAATGGACTGAAAGTCAATTTGACATCATAAACAGTAGCACTGCCCTCCCTCTCCAAAAAGGCACAGTCATCAAATGAGGATGTCAACCCAAAGCAACTTCACATGCCACTCATGTCCTTGGGGTCGGGCTGATCTCCCTGGCCCAGCAGAGTCCACAAGATCCCCATGAGTGGGAGCACCTGCTCCCTGTGGTGGAACACCCACATTATTTCTTATCAAAAAACAATTCCTGAACCCACACAAGAACCTTTGAATGATCAGCTGGTGCAGAAATGTCAGGAACTCTGGGAAGTCCTAGTGAACAAAAGGGCTTTAGGAACACAAATCCGCAAATCAACTTTTAGCTAAATGTTTTTTTAGACCTTAAACACTTATTTTTTTTTCCCCCATCGAGAGGAAATTAGCTCATCCTACCTCCGAGGCTGGTTTTCCAGGTGAAGCTGTAACCAGCAGCCGTATCCTGAGTGTCCCTCACTGCAGAGGTTCAGGGCTATGGAGGGATTCCCATGGAAGCTGTGCCGGCACAAAGGGGCTTCTTGAAGGAGGGCAGGGGAAAGGGCCAATGGAGGAAGCCTTGTGCTGTATGGATGCACTGAGCAGAGATTTAATTCCAGCGAGCAGGGACTTAACTCGTGTCTTGCGATATGACACATCCGCACCAGCAGAGGGAGAGCTGCTCGGCATTTCTCCTCCGGATCCGTGCTAATTAAAGGTTTTTACCATGTTCCAGCAGCAGCATATACAGCACATACTGTGCACGATGCTCCAGCCAGGCACCCCAAGTCTGTGCCTCTATGGCCTCTAGTTATTTGAAATATAGAGGTAAACCTCTGTTTCTAGCTGAATGGTGATGGAAAGCAGGAGCACATGGATGATGAACCCCGGGAAGCTCACAAGTTGTCAAGGGGCTTTAAAATTACACACACACAAAAAAATCCATAGCTCTGGAATTTTGCAGAGTTGCCTCAGTCTTTTCAACAGCAGGCAAGGAGCATTTTTTTAAAATCAGGTTAAGGATGCATCTGTGAGGAGCAGCCCAGCCAGGAGGACAGGGATTGAATTAGATCAGCATTCTTCACCCATTTAAAGCCAACTTTCACGTCAGCTGTCTGGAAAAGGCAGCTGAGCAGAGAACTGCTGCATCTCCCTCCAGCCACCTCCCAAGAGGCATCATCCTTCCCTCTGGTCACCACGGGCCTGTGAAGCCAAGAGTTAATTTCCTCAAATCTGAGGGAATGGGAAAGGTCAAGCTTTTGAATCAACTTATTAAACTTCTTTGAATCAATTTATTAAACAAAATCATCCAGGTTGACTTCGTGATTGTCAGGTAGACACCATTCCCATGCAAACACTGTGTATGAAAACTGGGGATGGCTGAAAATTCAGTACAGCCCACAAATTTCCTTGCTAAAGGAGAATTGCTCTCTGGTATTCCCAAAGACTCTCTCGGTTTCATTTAAACCACCCAAAGTTTAACCATGCTTCTGTCCTGCTTTCCTGGACAGCTCGTATTTCAAGCCACCACAACATTTACAAGACACTAATAGTAATGAAAAAAAATTACTTCTGTCATCAGAGGAGAATTCCCACCTTCCCAGCTCACTCTCTACAACAAAGCAGTTTCAGCTTTAATTTTCCCATGCTTCTCCAGCAGTCTGCTCTGTCCTCCCAAGCTGCCCCTCCTTTTCCTCTTCCTCTCTTTGTACACAAACCTACCCCTTAAAACACACTTTGTTTCCTAACTTACCAAAGCACGTTATTCAAGACAGACCCCAGGAAGATTTAGGCAACAACGATATGGAGTAATTGAAATATGTAACAACCACGTGCAGGACCCAACGCTAGAGTGTGCTGTGTAGGAAATAACGCCGTGAGATCCCTCTCCCTAGAAACCAGCAGGAACACCAAAGAACTGGATGAGTCCCTTCTGGCTCCTGGAAATGCATAAAGCTTCCTCGGAAATTCTTGGTGAAGGCAGAGAGCTAAACAGAAAACACTGAGTTTTGAAAAAAAAGCAGAAAAAATGTCCAGAACAAGGAAATTAAAAAAAAAAAAAAAAAACCCAACACCACCAAAACAAACAACAACAAAACCAAAAACTAGCAAGGAGCATAATATCAGATATTGCTCTGTTTGTCTTAGTGGACTGTTCAGAAAAGCAAAGATTTAGACTGAGGATATAAACCTGCTTTATTCTCTTCCTGTCTTTGGTTTATTTGAAGTATTGTGATAATTAGGTTCTGCATTTTGCCTGCAAGCCTTGCTGGGGCTGGAGAGACTGCAGAGAAATGCTCGGGACAAAGGAACACCAACAAAAACCCCAGAGCTCTTGGTGACTCCCAAGTATTGTCCCCAATTCACTAAGAGAAGCAAGTGAGGCACAGATGTTCAGCGCCTCTCCAAAAGCCCAGGCAGGCAGCACCCAAGCCAGAATCACAGCTCCACCTATTTCTACCTTTGGATTCAGCATTTGAGGGACAGGCTTAACTTACATAAGAAAATGAAAAGCATATTAGACAAAATCTTTGTGGTTTTTCTGTTTGTTTGGTTGGTTTTTTAAGAAAAACAACTTACTGCTTTTATTTTGACAACAAAATTTAGAAACATCTTGACACACAGAACTCCAAAAAAACAGAAAGTCATAAATCACCTAGTTAATTTACTAAAGAGGAAAGATATATCCAAAACTCAAACATCTTGTAAGTTTATACAAAAGCCAGACAGTAATAAATTGCGTTAAAAAAATATATCAAGCATTTCCTGACTAATTCCATGTTGGCATTTGCCCCATTATTAAAAGGCACAGAAAACTGAGCAATGAAAGCGATCAGCATCACATCCATTATTGTCAGTAAAGTCATCAAGATTAGCAAAAAACGTTTATTAAACGTATGTTTAATAATCACCATGTAGATCGGTAAGAAATCTCTCTTGGAAGGAGTAAGAAAATAAGGCTGGAAACGACACACATTTAAATACGACATCTCAAGACGCGAAGACACTTCCCAGAAATCGTCGTTCCGATCTTCCCAGAATAGTTGCTCTGGCTTTGTATCACTCAGCAATCACTCAAAAAGAAGATTTAATGATCCACAAACCCACCTTCCGGCAGCGCCGCGATCCCGCGGCGGCGGCAGCGCGGGGCCCTTCTGGGGCGTCTGTGGGCGCAGACACACCGAGGGCACTGTGGCACCGCCGCCGGTCTGTGACAGCAGCACATGCCAGACCAGGAGGGCTCGCCCGGCTTTCACTGCTCTCGGGGTCCCCGCAGTCACCCCGGGTAGCACATGCAGCAGCCGGCCCCGCCGAGCTCGGGCGCGGGTCTGTGCCGCGCGTCCTCGAACAGCCGCTCGCCCAGCTTGTGCTCCGTGATGATGTCCTCCACGCGGGTGATGTACAGCAGGGACAGCAGCACGCCCAGGAACTGCAAAAGGAAGGGATCTCTACTCAGAGCTCACAGGCGGCTTATCTCGTGCTTCTTGCAGCAGGCTTTACAAATTGTGTATACACACGTCAGATATATGGGCAGTGGTGTGTGTAAATATATATATATATATATATATATATATATATATATATATATATATATATATATATATATATATATATATATATATATATATATATATAAATTCACTTTTCATATAGTGGTATAAATGGGTATTTTTTGTGAAGAACTAAAACAGAGGAAGAATTAGCACCCCTGTCCTTTGGAGCATTAGAAAATCTCAGCGGATGCAGCTTGAGGAGGAGAGGACTCAAAAAACCCCAAGCAAGAGCAAACTACCCCACCAAATCCTGCAACATATCGCAGTAATGCTACTAAATTACCAGGATGCCGCCTCAGCTTATCAGTTACATTACATCAAATGGGATTTCACGTACTGTAGCAACAAATCAGATGCTCCCTTCAGTGGATAAGGCAGTGCCCCCTCCCTACCTGGGGTAGCAATATGCCGAGCAGCACTCCAGCCATGATGGTGTAGTTGTCCAAAAACCAGATAAGCACTGCATTCGTGCACCCTCGGACGTAGATAATATTCTGAACACTCAAGCGCTGCAAAATAAGGGAGTGAGCATTCAACAGGCTGTTCCACTGCTGTGTGACACTCAAAATTCAGGGAGGCAAATCTGGTTCGCCTTCCCACCTCTTTAAACCCACTGCATTTAACAGAGACCTCACTGCTAATCCTTCCATCTGTTTTTAAGTTGTTCCACACCTGCACAAGTTATTTTTTTTAACCTTTCTTTTTTTAAGTTGTTCCACACTTAAATAAGTTATTTTATTCCTTTAAACCTGGTTTTGCAGACACTTTTCTACAAGAAATGCATCCAATTCTGATTTGAGACCACTTTGAAAGAAGAGAAGTCTCCCTTTGGCTTTCATCTCTTCTTCCAAGTTGAAAGTACAGCAGTGGAAAAATATAAATTGTGGACCAAGTGCTTTGCGATAGACTCTAAAAAGGGCAGGAACAAGAGGGTTTGAGATTCAGTCCTGCAAGCTGTGCTGCTCCGTGACCCCAACCCATAATATAGAAAGCACTTGAGGCTGCAGAGGGTCCTAAGCAGATGAATGGGGTGAAGTTAAGCATATGCTTAAGTGCTTGGGGCATTGGAGCCAGGCTGGAGCGTTCAGGTGATTAAGCAGTAAATCAATTAACCTAAATGAAGACAAGTCGTGTGTAAAGATAACCAGTAATCCCAAAACCCAACAACCGAGGCTGGCATTGTGCTCCAAGTGCCTCAAATGAGCTGGGGAGAGGGGCTTTCCCGGAGCAGCCCCCACACCAGCACTCCAGAGCCAGGAGTGGAGAACTCAGGGCAGATCCAATTACTGATTTCCCTTCTTAATCACTCTGCAATTACTGCCTTGAGCTGGCAGTCTCTCCTCTGGAGTCACCAGGGCTATTCCCAAAAGGGAAGGCTGAAGGAGGAGGCCCCATCCCGCTCCTGGAGGGAGGAGAGGGCTGCCAACACAACCTGGGAAGTCCCGCTCTTCTTCCAGGAATAACTATTACAGGCCTAAAAATAAAAAACCCACTGCAAGGATACAAAATACTTAGAAACAGCTAAGTTGGCTTTACTAACACTGATTTTACTCAGTGAGAAACTTTGGCTTTTAAGTATTAAAAGCTTTCCCCAACTCAAGTCACTGCTTAAAAGTGTGAAAGCAGCTTCTTGTGCATTAATTGTGCAATTAGCTTGGGGAAGTTGTTATGAAACAAGGAATCATGGAAAATACAAAGAAGGGAAGATACCGCAATCAAACAAGATTAGCTTTTTTAACATATGGAAGTTATTCCAGAAAAAAACCCACAAACATTTTAAGTGCTGATTTAACTGTCTGGCAGATTGAAGCATGCAGAAGACAACTTTACAACTGACCAAAAACAATGCAGAGAAGCAGCACCCTCTGCCATGGCAGGGTGGACACTGGTTACATTACCTCTTTGTCAATGGTTTTGTATCCACACATAGTGTTGATAATGTCTGTCTGAAAAGAAAACAACAAATACAAACTGCAGCAGAAAATAAAAATTACAAAAACATTATTTTTACTCTTTCAGCCCATACAAAACCAGCGACAGGGTTATTTCCCAGTCCAACACCAGTTTCTTCCAGCAGGCCCAGGGTCAGATTTAGTAGCTGATTTCAGAGAAATGAGTATTGTCAGTGTGTCACGACACATTTGAGCCATATCTATCCAGCAAAACCAGTGTGGCATCAGCAACCAAAGCAAGCTACGACACAGCAGTTCCACAGAATGAACAGCTGGGTTTCATTTTAAAGCATTAATAACTTAACACATCTTATTAAGAAAACCAGTGGTTAACATAAAATGGCCATCATACCATCATGATGACAAATTTAAGCTCATAAATATCTAAGCTTCAAATAATGTCCAATACTATGAATGCTTGTATGAATATTTTACAAGACTAAATTTATTACAAAATCATTTTATATACCATTATATATATGAATATAAAATCTATATATTTTAAAAAGACTGAGTGCTTGCATTCACCACAAATTACTAACACATTTTCTGTAGCCATGTAATATTCTCTGTGGGTTCCACAGTTCTACCTGGCCTGGCAAAGCTAACCTGAAAACAACCCTCCCTCACTCACAAATCATCCAACATAAAGCCCACCAGCATCAAAGAAAGCAGCGAACAAAGCCAAAGACATGGAAGAAAATGAGAATATGTAAATGACAAAAATAAGGCAGAACAAACTGCATTACTGATAGAGAATCACAGAATGGTTTGGGTTGGACCATCCAGTTCCACCCCCTGCCATGGGCAGGGACACCTTCCACTATTCCAGGTTGCTCCAAGCCCCGTCCAACCTGGCCTTGGACACTTCCAGGGATGGGGCAGCTACTCTGTTGCCACAGCTTCTCTGGGCAACTGAATACCCCTTCATCAAAATTAAAACAAGATGTAGGAATGAAGATTTCTAAATGCTGGTGGTCTCTGAGTGGTAGCCTGGGATTCCCAGCTCACCCTCCCAAGAAGGAAGAGGGATGTTTGCAGAAGACGGATGTTACGAAGCGGCAGAAACACCAGCCAGTGTCAAAGTTCTTAAGCCCCCAAAATCTGGGCTCCCACCTTGAACACACAAGTGTCTGACAAACAAGGTCAACAAACACCCTAGAAGAAAAAGCTCCAACTATTTCACAGGGCTGTTGGGAAACCATGAGGAGCACCCATCTGCTGACCACAAGGAATAAATACATTTGGAAGTCAGGGTTTGCACCAGCGTGTTGTTATGTTGGCTGTGAGTGATTTCACGTTCCCAAACCACTCGAGCACCCTGGGACCACCCCCAAAACATGTAACCACCCCCAAAATACGTGACCACAAAGAATGCAGTTGCATCATTTCATTTGAAACAGCATTTGCAAACAGCACATCGTGGCACAAGCAAATACACACAGCAGAGATAAATGCATTAGAAACAGAGGATTATAGGCATTTGGGACTAAATTTTATCTGCTACACTAGTGTAAGTCTTTAATAAATACTTCGACTTAAACACAGTTCCTTCAGAGCCCCCCCAGTGTGAGCCTGGCTCGTGTTAGCAGAAGGCTTTTTTAGAGGATCAGAATCCAACCTCCAACATTAGCAGGAGTTTTCCATGACTACAAAGCCAATGAGTAATCACAAACCATATCTGTGGCTTTCCAGGAGAGAAACCAGCCTGTATTTGGAAGCATTTGTCAAACATACAAGATTTATGCATCCTCTGGTTGGCTTTTCCCCGAGGCAGCCATCCTTGCAGCCCTGTGTTGGTGTTACCCTGACGAGCAGCATCCGCGCCGCTCGGACTCCACAAGGCCCAGCAACACCATGAGTGTGGCAAAGCCATGAGCCCTAACGCACTGCAGCATCCTGATCAACAGCCTGTGCTTAAATATGAAGCTTGTTTATGATTTGGGGGCTTCTCCTTGCCTTTCAATTAACCTCCCTGAGCTTACCACTTTACAAGTAGCCTCATCCTCCCATCTCCAGCTGTCAGTGAAGCACATGGAGAGTATATTTTCCCTTGGAGAAGTTTTTATTTTAGTGCTTTCCCTTTCTTGAGGGCAAAATCCTGAGTTCTTCTGCTCCATGCAGTTCTGTCTGCAGATCAGCAGACACCATCTTCATCTACACAAATTTCTTACTCTCAGACACCCAAGACTCAAAGCATAACTGTTTAGCTTTGGTTCCTGAGAACAAAACTGTTTAGCTTTGGTTCCTGAGAAGCTCACCATGGATTTAAACAGACCCTTTCTCACGCACCAAAAATGTGTAAGCACATGTAATAAACACCTTCATATGAGACACATTTCTCAGGAACACCTACTGATGCAGCTATTGCATTTATTTTCCCTGTTGGTAATTAAACAGCCGTGCTCAAGGCAGATGTTGAGAGAGCAGCCCAAAGCAGGCAGCAGGCTCTCCACCACGAGCTCTACTGTGTCTCCTCTTATCTCCTCTTACACATACACAATTTCTCTGCCTCAATTTCTCTTTGTTCTGTGTTCAGAACAAAGACAAAAACCCAGCGAGGCAGGGATTGCCTGGACTGGTTTTAAATTGAGGAATAATTCTTTATCAAATTCAGCATTGTACATCCCTCAAAGAGCAATGAATTATAAGATTGAAACATATTTATATGAAACTCAATGCCTGTTCCTCCTGCTGTCAGCACTAGTTAATACCAGTTCATCATAGATGGAGAAACTGGTCCAGACCCCAGTCCTTCCAGGATTTTAGAGAGTGGGAAGGCAGGTAGTTTTCAAGGACAGGTTAGGGCCGAGCAGCAGCTCCAGTCTAGACCTGTGCCCACAAGCATGCCCTGACCCTGAGGTCAGTTGCCCACATTTCTGGAATAATCTGGATGACGAGGTCACTCTGGGTTTTAACTCACACAGCAGCTGGTGCACATCACTCCAACCCCCACCCACGGAAGCAATCAGGGCCCAGGCTTCCTGGCAAAGCTGGAACAGCAAACCCTGGGGAAAACACCAGCAAAACTTAACTTTAAGCAGCTCTCGTTCAGGCTCGCCATGAGGCTAGAGGAGCTCCCAAGATCCCTTCTGGGGCTGTGTGGTGGGTCAGTACAATGGAGCAGAGCCAACACATCTAACTCATTTTATTTTCTCCTTTTCAAGCTGTCAAGACCCACAGATCCATTAGGGGAGGGAAGGACCCATTTTCTTTCACTTCTCACCTCAGAATTCCTAAAGTAAGGTACCTTTCTAAGCAAACCCCAGTGATGCTGAGGGGCCAGGACTTACCTTATTTCTGATGCAGCAAGTGTAGGGCACCCCACAGGCCAGCGGGCCCGGCGCCCCACAGTTGTGGTATGCATTTTGGGACCAATCCTTGTAATCTTCCCCACCACAGCACTTAAACTGGAAAAAAAAACCAACACAAAACTCAATGATCTTAAAGGTCTTTTCCAATCTAAATGGTTCTATGATTCTAAAAGGTAAAAGGGGGGGAAAAAATCGTATCTTGAACTCTTTGAATAAGTAGAAAACGAAGTTAGAATAAAACAATTTAAAAAGCCCTGAGCCACCCAAAAAATCCTTTTGTCAGCAAGGCACGTATGAATGTATATGATAGAGAGAATTAAAAAGAATTATGGATATAGGTGGCACTCCTCCATCACTCATTGAGCTGTAACCCGGGGTGCCAGAGCAAAGTACCGGTGTAAGTTGCACTTCCCATCTTTTCCAAGTTGAAAAATTATCTTTCCAGGTCTGGACATCACTAAGCAATGTTTTTAAATTCATTCTATCTTGACCTGTAATAAATTTTTGCAGCTGCTTGAAGGATTATGACTACATTTCCAACTGGGTCTAAAAGACAAAAGCATTGCTATAAGGCATAAATCAATCTCACCAAAACACTGTGAGTGTAATTTAGAAGAACTGAAATCTGACAAACAAATACTGTAAGTTTATGCTGACTTCATACAAATATTCACTTTATAATTTAAACAAAGGGAAAAGCAGCAGTTCATTTAATCAGTAAGATGTATACTGGCTGTATGTATCCATAACTTTGGGCAGTGCATGGAAACTTTAAAGCATTATGAAGTCTAATGACAAAATTTCCTCGGGATGGTTTGCTTTTGACAGACTTTCCATGCTAACTTTGTTTTTCAAAGCAGGCTGCCATCTCCATAACGATGTCCTAAAACACATGTAACACTTCCTAAGTTAATTTTTTTTTTTTTTAATCATTATTTGGCACAGTCACAGACATCACATGGGCCCTGACATCACATTTCTGAACATTTTCTGCTTCTTCTATAGTCTCTGAACTGCATGGCAGAACTCTTCAATAACCCAATAAACATTTCAACAGACCAGCCTTATTAAAAAAAAAAAAAAAAGGCTATGAGTCAACTTCACGTGCCATTAAGTAATGCTCAGCTGGGCTCAACAGCATTTCTGAAGTTTAATTACAGGTATATACACTTCCACGGGCATTTCCTTCCAACAACCACCTTGTTAGAGAGCTCTCTGGGTGCCCTTGAGCGACAACACAACATGCTGTGTTTTAACAGCCTAAAAGCCACCTCATTCTCTTTATCCAGTGCCTCCTGTTAACGAGATGCTTCTGAATCTCTTGGACCAGCAGAAACACTGAGTGCAAGGCCTTGGGTGGAATTTAGGCTGAGCTTGTCTGAATCCAGCTGTGGGGCCTCCATAAGCTCACATGTTTGTAGGATCTGACCTTGAGCATCTGAATTACACCTGACAAGGCAAAAGCTGCATTTTGGCCCCCTGTTTTTGCAGTGATGTAGAGGGTTTTAAATGCCAGCTGGAATGCTGGATGAGCCCTGATCTCAGCGACACCAGAACAAGATCCCACCCCCCTCATCAGTGAGAACTTGATTATCACGTCACTGGAAAAACTCAAAGCTGTCGCCGAGGACCTGCTGCATCTCGGCACCAAGTTAGTCCCAGGGAAAAAAAACCCAACAACAAACCTGCTTTTGAACAGAATCCATGATGTTCTTGAAGTCTAAATCATCGTAGTAATTCTCAATTCCTCTTCTAATGTTATCGTTCAAAAACTTGATTGTCTGAAAAGCAAAAGGAGAACAAGATTCGTGGGTTGCACACACAGAAACAAAATTAGAAGAGCAGGTTAAAGTGACAGGTGTAACTGATGGGCACAAAAGAAAAGCCTTTTTTCTTTAAGGAAAAACAAACCCTAGCTAAAAACAAATCTTAGCTCAACCCTGCAGGGACCAACCATCTGTTCTTTCTTATGGAAGCAGCCACACTGCTGGGTTTGTGATGGGAAGTGCCAACAGTGCAACACTTCTCTTCTCTGAGACTCTCCAAGCATCTCCCAGACATGGTCCCGTTATACTCAGGCAGGATCCCTCCCTCTGGGCACTTGGGATCCTCACCACCACTTGGGTGACAGAACAGTGAATCTTGGGTCTGCACCACACCCCGAGCAACACCACCACCTTCCATAAATTTTATTTTCTGCGAATTTTCCACTAATTTGATTTTCCGAGGAGTCCATAACTGCCAGATAAGGAGCTTTATTTCACCTTAAGCAGGAAAAAAGTGTATCTGCACGTTTTACAGTGGGTTTTTTTGAGAAATATGGCAGTGGATTGGCAGATATAAGATGGTATCTCCTCAGCATGGCAAATTAGAAATTAAAGCAATAAAACATCTTTAGAGTTCAGAAGATGAGAACAAAGAAAAAAGTATTTGGTTTTCAAGACCCAGCACAATCACAGCACAGCAAAAACAGGAACTAATCATAACCAGAATGTAACGACTTCCCTTTCAATCCAGCTGCTAAAACGCCCAAACCTAAAAATCCTAATAGGTCAGAAAACCTGAAATACACCTACTCGTCTTCTCAGTATTACAAACTGCAACACTTACAGACAAACCAGAACAAAAAGCATTAGCACATTGGTGATGAGAAATAACAACTTGCAGGACCATCCTAACTGGCCAAGAACCTCATTTAGACCCTACAGATCTGAGAAGGCAGTAGAGAAAAAAATGGGAAAAAAATCAACGAGACATGCAAGACAAACAACACCTCAATAAAGGCTGCTACCCTAAGCTTTTATAAATACTTCCTTGTCCTCCCCATACTGACCCAAACATCTCCATTAACTTTGAAAAACAACGAAAGAAACCTGTCCCTAAGCACAGTTGTCCTGCTTTGGTCCAGCACGGAGTAAGAAGAAAGCACCAGCCAGAGAGAACACAGTACTACCTCAAAATACAAAGTTATTATTTTTTTAAAAAAATCTTTTTTTAAGTTTGGCGGGGTTTTTTTTAACATCACATGTACATATGTGGTAAAGCCACATGGCTTTTGTGGAAAATGAGCTTGGTAGGATTGGGCTGGGGAGAGAACATGTCTTATTATTCAGCATCTCCTTTTAATGCTCATATTTTGCCAGATTAGAAAAATAAGTCAAAGCACAGCAATCTAGTACTTGCCATAGCGAATACATTTATGTTTTAAAGCATTTCTAACTGAAAAGAACAGTATGCTGCTTTCTGTCTAGAAAAATCAAGGTTTTAATATAGTAATAGCATGCTTGTGAATGATGGAGTCTCCTATATAAATTAGTTACGTTGCTTATGGATGTGGGCAGGGAAAAGCTGTCCTTTAGGTAAGGTAGAACATTTTGGCCACTAAAAAATACAGTCTCCAAATCCATCTGGAAACTTCCCATATCAGCAGTCAGACCCAGATGGTAAAACAGAAAAAAGCACTTTGTAATACACAAAGAGCTGGAAACCCGTTTTGCCTGTATTGCACGCTCGTAGTTACCAGATTTTCTTCAAATTCTTTAATCTGGAATTCATCTCCAGAGCAGATGAACGGCAAATCCCACCACTGCTGAACCCTGAAGGCCCTGAAGAGCCTGGAGCTTTCTTCAGACCTCCATCAATTACTGCCCAGTGACAATTTTAACCCCTTTTATATTGCACACCTGTAACTTCATGGATCTTAAGTCACATTCTCCGTGATCAAAACCTAAACACAAGGAGCTCACCTGGTTTCTGAAGATCAGGGCCACCACTCCACCGGTCAGCTCGATCAGCAAGCAGATCCCAAGGATGTACATGAACTGCAGAAAAACAAGTGCAAGTGAGTCATTAGACAGAACAAACCTCAATTATTCTTTCAATTAGTGCCCCTAAGTCTAACATTCAGTTGCCAAGAGATCTGGCTTTCAGCAAACAAGATGGCATTTTAAAAGAAGATACGAAATTATGGGTCTGTTCTTATAAAACTCTACATGTCACGAGAAAGCCTTTTTTCCATGCTTGAGTTATTCTGGGTTTTGCCCAATTGGCAAACACGTTATCTGTCGACTTTGAATGGACTCAAAACCATTAGATGTATTTATCATGCCAAGACACTTCTTTCCACAACAGCATCGCAGAGAAGCACACTGATGGACTGCTACAAACCACACCAAACTTCATGTTTTTATGTCTCCTACAAAACCAGTGCTTACCTGTTTGCTTTCAATTAGTGGGTGAAACAGCACCTTCAGATAATCCGAACCACCTTCTACTAAATTGCCAGTGCTAAATCAAAGCAAAGTTCCAGGCTCGGTACCTTTTAGCGTGTTGCTGTACACATTTATTTGTGTGTGTACCTACAGATGCTCACAGATGCACTCACACCACATGTGCACCCGTGGCTGCTCATCAAAGCATGTGCAAAATACGAATAACATGAAGAAATCCACAGCACCATGAGATGGCTGCAAGGTACCAGCACTTGAAATGTTTTTCCAACACTTCAGGCGTAAAAGATGGCTGTTATGGGAATTTGGGTCTGCTGTGGAACAATGAACTTCATCGGGAGCGGAGTTTTATGATCCCTCATCTGAAAATAACCCCTAATGCTCACCTCTGAAAGCTGTTTTAACTTCTGTGCACTCTGTGCCCAGTATCAGTGTCACGAATTCACCAGACAGGTATCTTTTCTCCTGCTAAATCTGGAATCAACCTGAGAAGCAGGAATCAGGGACTGGCTTTGTTAAATACCCATCTGGGTGTGCTACCAGAATGGGAACGGGAAATGTTCTCGGCATCAGACACACCACCACACTCAGTGGGAGAGAAGCCTAAGGATGGGATCTCAGCAAAATTCCAGCATAATTTCAGAATCCACCGTTACTTCTGGCTTTGTATGTCGTGGTCCCCCACAACATACCATGTATTCAGCATTTCATTAGACTGAACTGTTATGACAAGACCAGGCTGGATTGGGTTTTGAACAACCTGGTCTAGTGCAAGGTGTCCCTACTCATTCCAAGGGAGTTGGGCTAGATGGCCTTTAAAAAGGTCCCTTCCAAACCAAACTATCTATGATTCTATGGAGGTGAAAAAGATGATTTCACACTTTATTTTTAATTAGTCGCATGTGCAACTTCCATCTGCAACCACAGCGTTATCCAGGAATTCCCCTAAAATTTACTCTTTCAGAGGCACTGGAGAGAAAAAACCTTGTCCCTTTCATTTCACCCTCAGGGCCCTTCTCGCAAAGCCCCAAGCTACTCAGGTAACCTTGTACCACGCATTTCCACATCTACCCCTACATTCCGCTTCCCAGGGAGGACAGACAGACTCCAGCCACCACCAGACATCAGCCTGAGCCAGGGTTTCCTTCTTGAGCTCCTTCCTCCAGGTCCAAATGAGAAGCCAGTGTCAAATGGTATGTCAACAGCTGAGTTTGCACAACATACACACTGACTGACAATAATAAACATTCCTGGGTATTTTCCATAAAAACCTTAACTACTGGGAAGCTGGTTTTCTCAGCACAGGGGTCAGACCCTCACCAGTCCTGTCACTGGCTACTGCTCCCTGGTGGAGAGATCACTGCCATTAAATTCAGATTTAATTAAAATAAAGCAACTTCGTTAAAATATTTTTCAATGCAGACATAGTTATGGGGTGTGAATTCAGAGGGCACTGAAGAGCGGAAGCAACAAGCACTGGAAATTAGGAATAAAAATCGCAGCACTTACTGCTTGCAGAAGGCATAAGTTGTCTCTTAAGGAAGCCAGCACACCCACAAAGGATACCAGGAACATTATAACGCCCAAAAGTATTAAAATAATTGCTGGGGCTAGAAAGGCACTTTCTAGAGTTTTGTACTTTTGTCTTTCGATTTCTGCATAAATCCCCACGGCGAGGACGAGGGCTCCGATGAGCTGGAACAGAAACAGAGGAGAGCACGGATGTTACTCCTTCTCCCAGTAAACACTGAGGTGACATGTTGTGAGTACACAGGAGCCTGGGACTGCTCACTTCAGGATACATTATAAACAGCGAAACACACAAAGCAGAAGTTTGGATAAAGAAAGGAAAAAAAAAAACAACTCAAAGACAAAGGCAGAAAGAGAGCTGTGGCAGAAAAAAAACAAATCAAACTTGTTTATTTCAAAAATATATTTCAAAATGTTTTAGCATGCTAGAAGTTAAACAAACTGAAACACTGGTTGAAATGTAATTTATTACTCATCTGAGATCACATGTATGACATATATAAGCAACTGCCATGGCATTAATGCTGTCTGTCTGTCCTTCTCTCTGTGTATGAATACATATCTATAAATAGATATATATTTAATATAACACAGTTTCTAAGCCCATCTGCAAACAGCTTATCCATCCCTTCATACCAGCTCCTATTGTATTTAGGCTCAGTAAACACAGCCAGGTATATCCTGTACCTCCACTCCTGCCATCAGGAGAGAGGCACTGGATTAAAAGCAAACAAAAAAAATCCAAGTCTGAAGTTACGTCACATTCTTGAGCAAGTACCTGATAAAGCCAGAAGTGAAATAAGAAGAAACATATTTAGTTTAAAAAGGTAAAGATATTTCAATCAAAATAATTAGTTAAGTCATTAAATCACTTGGTACTAAGCCTATGGCAGGTTGCAAATCACTTTAAATTATGCTGAATTAATTAAAATAAAAAATAGCCCACAATACTTAATCATGAAAATTGCAGTGGAAAAACTTTCCTGCTGACTCCAACAGCCAGACACATCCTCAGGGAAAAGATCAGATACAAATCATTTTGGCAATGTGATAAACGACATTCCCCTTTTCTGACCTGACATTTCCATGGGTCTGCTCCCCGCACACCAATGCTTCTTAATTATACTTCTTCATTTTTAATTTCACTTCTTAATTTTGGATATGACATGGTATATCCTGGGCAAAGGGCTAGGTGAACACACAACATGATTTACCAGAACACGAGCCAAACAGTTGAAATACTTTTTTAATTATGGGATATCTTAAAATAATTAACAACATACTGGAAATTCTTGACTTTCTAAGGGAATGAATAATATCCCCAAAGGACAATATGTGAGGCATGCCACCAAGTTGTCATTTAAAAAGAAAATTCTCAGAAGGGCTCAGCCATAAAAATAAATATACTGAAGCTATTTAAAAAGCACCTTAAAATTTGACAGGAGCAAGTTGAGAGTAACTCCCCCTCTGACAAATGCAGAAATTGTGCTGTAATGATGACAGAAGAGAAAACATGCTGGACAAATAACAGGTAATAAAATTACCACTTATATGCTTCTACTGTAAAACTGTAATTGGGGTTTTTTTTAATTACTAAATGGTCCATTTGTAGTGTCAGCTTCATGCTTTAAAAAAAATGTAGTGATTTGGGTAATAAATTATTGATTTCTTTTCAAGCAGATGACAAAATAAATCAGTTAGAAACTTTTAAATGCAGCTCTAACAGTTGAGGAAGGAGTCTCAGCACCATACAAACCTAATACAGATTATAAAACTGGGGACTGTACTTGCACACATGACTGGGGAGTTCTATTATTATTATTGTTATTTTTTAAAAAATTATTTTAAAAAACCAAAACTGGATTCTCCTGCAAACCTGAAATACCATTAACAGAATCAACACTAACTCTTGCCTAGAAAAGTAAAAAAACCCCAAACATTGGACATAAACCACAGCTATTAAAGCTTGAAGAGCATTATCAGAATTTCAGAAGAGCACTGTTTCAAGACTAGAACTTCTTATCCAACTTTCTTTTTCTTAACCATAGTTTTCTCATCAAAACATTAAATTTCAGAGTTTTTTGGTTTAGAGATTCAAAGGTGCCTGTGAGTAAAATACAAGACACATTCCCACTTTAAGAGCTTAAGATGTATAGACACATATAACCTTCTTGGACACATATATGCTCACCCCTTTTCACTTGCACTTTTGCTCACACAGCCTCCAAGATCTATGCTTTTATTATCTTCTACTTTTTTTTATGCATTTAATAAAAATCTTTTGAACCTTTAATATGGTCAAGCCAACAGCAGCAATTATTTATGACAAGCAGATGTGATAACTCAGCAGTCATCACACCCGAGTCTCCTCTCGGACCTGTGCTCTCTCTTCCTGTGACTGGGGCTGGAAACACAACTCTTACGTAGGGAACCCACCGATACAGGGGCTGTTTACATCCTGCATCCTTCCCAACAGCTCCCAGTTTGGCAATTCCAGCTGTGTACGCAGGAAAATTAACTGGCCTTGACTCACATTAAATAAGCATCCACCAGCAAATACCAGGGGATTTCTCTGGGGCTTTTGCATGCACAGAAGCTGCTTTCCCAAGAGAAAGCAAAAGCATTTATTTATTTATAAGCAGAGGTTTTAACCCTGTATATACAGCACTTATTCTTAAGTAAAGCGGCCGCTCAACAACAGCACCTTCTGTTTAAAATGCTGGATTCTCTTTCAGCTGGGCAAGAAAAATTACATTACAGCATCATGCACCAGCAGAAGAGTTACTCGGAAAAGTTACAGGGACAACCAGTTTTTAAAGAAGTGCTGGGTAAGACCTGCGAGAAGACACAGGGCCCTTAGCAAATATCCCCTCCAACACTCCCAGTGATGTTTTAATTTCCTCTCTGCTTTGGATAAGGCTGATTATTTAGTTCCTGGTGGTTTAAAACCATCCTGGGGATTCGAATCTGGGCGTTCATCGCTCGTAATGTACCAGAGAAACAGCTACAGCAGGGAGGGAATCGAATGAACTCAGCATCCAGCAGGTCAAAGCCCCAGACAGCAGCAGAACATCACAAACCACCCAAAATTTAAGCAAGCCAATACTCCACAGCCAAACTTTACTTCCACTTACACCAATTTAAAAAAAACCCTGAAAACAAAAAACCAAAACAAACAAAAAAACCCAACGAACACCCAAACTCAGCAAGAATAACACAGCTCAAAACAGAACCAGGCGAGTGGCATTTACAGCTGATGAGATCTGCCTGGCTAAGCTGGAATAAAAGGGAATTTCGCGAGCGGAGCCCACAGGCTGCCCCTCACACAATGCGGGGTGTGTTCGGCCCCAGCACCGGGATGATGCCCAGCGCCAGCCTTCCTTCCCCCGAGCAAAGGCCAGCATTCCCATCCTTCCTTCCCCCTCCTGCAGCCCCCATCCCTCCCCCTCCCTCTCTCCCTCCCGGAGCAAACCATCTCCCCGGCAGAGCCGACAAATGGAAGCTCTTGGTTATAAACAAGGGCAGAGCATTGAAAATCCACAGCGAGCAACTACAAAGAGTAAATAAAATCCTCGGGCTGCCTGAAAGAGGCTTTGTCCTCCGCGGACGCCCCGAGAATCGCTTCAGAAGGGCCCTTTCTCTGCCGCCAGATGAATGTTCACATCCCACCACCCAGGGCCCTTGGTGCCCGTGGAAAACGCGGAGCAGACAACGCGCACGGCCCTTCGCGAAGGACTCGCTGCAAAAACACGGGTGGGAAAATAACACACCAAATTTCTCTCTCCTGAAACTCGCACCTGTGGAATAGCCGCTGTGGAGGAACGCAGGAAAGCGTCAGAAGCCTAAACCCAAGGGTTGGCTTGTCTGCTATGACAGACAAAAGATATTCAATATCCCCAAAAGCCTGAACTGCACCCAAACACTTTGTGTTTCAATCTTTTTTTATTAAATCATATCTCTAATCAGACACCTACTATCAAACCTGATGGATCTAAAGGTCTCCTCCCACGCAGTGCACTAAAAGCTTTACCATCCCACTTGGCAAATACCGTGACAGAAACAGACCAGCCAAACAAGAGCTTAAGCAGCGTTTAAACTGAAAGGGCCAGAAAGAAACCCCGCCTGAGCACCTCCGACATCAGTACAGCCTGGAGCCGGCATCACCCCAGTATCCCAGAGCCCGAAAAGGCACCTTTTAAAATCATGGTGCTTACAAAGAGTACTTTAAAAGAGCCCCAAGGGCTCCTTCCAGCCCGGGGGCTGCCTGGTCTGGGTGGATTTGCCACATGTCAGAAGTCAGTGGTCGTAACCTGGCCTCTGCGACTTAATGGCTTTATCCAGCACCTGGATGAGGAGAGCAAGTGCCACACACCTGTAATTCTACAACCTCGCAGCCTCATCCTGCCAAGGCTCGGGAGAGGGCTTATCCCATACACAGGTGAGTGACGTTGTAGGGCAAAGGCTCTATCGGCCCATCTCTCCTGGAGGAAAGAGCCGCATTTTAATACGCGCACGGACGATTTTTACCTGCCCAACTTCCAACTCCTGCAGCTCCCCATCCGCCAAAACCAGTTCGTCAGTCCCTAGGGAAGGTCGGGGCGCTGCCACGGGCGTGACACCCGCCACCTCAGCCGCGGAAACATCCACCGACTGCCAAAGCCCGGGGCCTGGCGCGGGGGGACCCCGCTGCCCGGGGGTTCGCGGGACCGCGATCCGGGACTCCCCGCTCCGAGCCCAGCCCCCCGCACAGCCCCGCACAGCCCCGCCCGCCGCTCACCCAGAAGAAGGTGGAGTAGGTGATGAGGGTGAGCTTGAGGCAGAGGTAGGAGAGCCGCCCGCAGTACCGCGCCTGCTCCGGGTCCCCCGCCGCCATCCTCCCTCCCGCCCCGCGGCACCTGCCGCCGCTCCCGCCGCTCCCGCCCCTTCCCGGCTGGAGCGGGGCGGGCCCGGGGGCGCCGCCGCTTCCGGAGCGGGACCGGCGGGGACACACGGGCAGCGCCGGGGAGGGAGCGGGGACCTCCGGCTGCGGCTGCTGCTTTCTTTTTTTTTTTTTTTTCGCTTTTTTTTCCTTCTCAATTCCCCCGGCAAACACGCCTGGCCGCTCGGCCGGGGTCAACCCCGCAACTGGAGACGGCAGGGAAAGCAGATCCGGCTGCTCCAGCGCTGCCACAGCCACGCGCGCACCCCCAAAACCTCCGCGGTCGCCACTGAAACAGCCCGGACAAAAACACTTCGGTGGGAAGCTCCTGCTGCCCGTGGGCGCCGGGATTTTGGGTCGAGCATCCGTAAACACGGCAAAGCAGGATCCCTGGGCGCTACGCCGGCACGGTGGAGCAATACCAGGGCATTTACCTTTCGTTGTAAGACTCACGCGATTGTCCAGCACGTCCTGCAAATAACAACAGTTAACGGGTGTATTGCACTGACCACATTTTCTGCCTGCACCGAGGTTTATCCACGTCCCGCTGCTGTGACAGTGGGACAGCGCTGGGTCTGACGCAGCGATCATGAACTGCAAACGCCATTCATGCCTCCGAGATGAAATAAGCCTTTTCAAGCCCGCAGCGCTGCACTCCTGTCCCACAAAGGGCTATTTTTTCCCCGGGGAAAAAAGTCTTATTCAAAGTGGCAGACAACTGTCACAGAGTTGGTTGTTGCATCCTGGCCCGGAGCAGAGACAGATGGCGTTGAAAATCAGCGTCTGGTGTCAGAGGAGATGAAGTGAGGCAGCATTTGTCCTTAAGTTACCTAGGAAAGCGACTGGAAAACCTCCGAGCTGTGTACGTAAAACTGTGTAAGCAGTCAGTCACACATCATTTCGTTAGGTCATACAATATACCAAAACCTTGTTTATAAAGGCTACAAAATATCCCTGGAAAATTCTATTAGAAAAAGCACCATTGCTTTTCCATGCAGTGCTACATTCTGCTTCTGGAAAACAAATAATCCGGCCCAGGACCCAACCGGTAGCTCTTCACCTGTAACGTTTCTGACGATAATTCAATGCCCCAGAGCATTCATCCTCTAAAATATCACAACTTCAATTTTCAGACAGATTTGCAAATATCCCTGACACTTACAGTGGTGTGCAGGCTGGAAATCACATCACATACCGTGTAGGTGCTGGGAATTAGAGTCTGCCACAGGTTCTTGATGTCTCATGGGTGTCATTCACATCCAAAGATGTTCCTGTCAGACATCTTCCTTGTTTGAGTATTTAATTAAATTAATAGTTTTGGTGTGACTTTCTTAATGCCTTGCCTGTTCATTTGTGCTGATTTCTGCAAATAAAATTTCAGGGCACGTCCAGCTGGATGGGGAAGCTGATTAAAAGGAGTGTCCGTTTTCCTGTTGTTTTCACTCTGAACAGAGCCAATGCATCAAAACAGGTTCCTGTTATGAAACTGTATGAAAATAATTGACTAATCCCTTTCTTTGCTGAATCCCAGACTTCGTCTGTATATTGAAATTATAAGATTTCTGGACACAATTAGTACAGTTCAGCAGCAAACAGTGGTTAAAAGTAAGATGTTATGAACTGCCTGTGGTGCTGAGGGTCCTTCTTGGTTGCATTCTCTCCCCCTCAGCCCAAGGCAGCACAGAACTGCAGTTTTCCAACAAGGAGTCTGGCATCTCTGCCAGCATCGAGGCAAATCCTGCATTACAGCAGCTGCTCCCAGGGCCATCCAATAGCTCAGCTAGTGGTGGTTTTGTTCATGTTATGGATCAGTAACTTCCACATGTCCTCACTCATCTCCAGGGCTACCAGGGTTGTCCTAAGGACAGTCATAAAAAGCCATAGACTGTAGAACATTTGACTCAGGGAATTAGGAACACCACAGAAGAGGAAGTGAACCCACAGTTAGCCCTGCATGAAAGTGTGTCAGAAAGACCCAAAGCTTTTCAGAGCTACCAAGAGGCATTTTTCTGCTTCCTTCCAGCCCATGCCTGGCTGATAAAGCTGCAGGCCAGCTGCACTTTCCCCCACCCAAAGTGGATGCTCATGGTCCTGCTCTCAGACCTGTTCCCTGGACAAAGGTTCTTCCTCCCAAAACAGAGTTCAACTTGCAATACAATTAAAGCCTCTACTGCCTGTATTACCTTGTATTATGTTTCCAAAACACAAAACATCCCTCAATCACCCTTCCTGACCTTGCAGACCTGCATCTTTTCTTTGCACCTCTCACCCTTTGCTCAGACCTGGGATCAGTGACTCAGCACAGGAACGTTTGGCCTTGAACAATCCTGCCCATAATAAAAACAACTGTGAAAACAGCCAAACCCAAAAACCTTTCTCCCAGATAGTCTCCTTCTCTGGTACAACTCCAAAATCATTGGAGAGACAGGTTTTACCCACAGTCCCAGGCACACGCAACTTCCCTGAGGAATTTGGAGCCCACCTTTATCAAAAATCACTCCAGTTTTCAAGTCAAAAGGCCGACAGTACACACTAAGTCACTGGCAGGGCTCCAGGATGATAACCTTGTCAATGCACAACCAGCAAAGGAATAAAAGGTGTGGGTGTGGATAAAGGAAAGCAAATCCCTCCTGACTTGTACGATGAAATATTGACCAAAGGGTGACTGCTCTCCGATTATCACCTGAGTAACAGATCAGGAAGCAGGGCAGACAGTTCAGAAGAAGGCTCCTAGGAAACCTGGGCACTCTGACTGTCTTCAAAGTCAGCCGAGAAAGGTTATGGTTTCACCATTGAAAGGTCAATAAGTACAGCCCTTTTTCCAAGTGCTTGCTTATGTTTTGCTTTCCTTGACTGGTAAAGCACTTAAGCTGTGCTCCCAGCTAAACATATGGAGGGTTTTGCTCAGATTCTCCTTTGAATTTGCAGAGATTTGAGAGATGAAGGAAAAAAAATAATCTGAAGAACACTGTTAGCTGTTGAATTCATGTTGCAAATCAGGAAGAGCCCTCCTGGACTGTGTACAGAAAGTGAAAGGTCCATAAGCTGCTTAATGAGGTGTAAGCGGAAGACTTTGAAGAAGAGCCTGGAACAGCCTTGCAATGCATGCTGGAAGATATGGACAAGTGTGGTTTTGTAGTTTCTGGGTGGGGAAGTGAGTGGAATTGCCTGCAGGGAAGTGAGTGGGATTGCCTGCAAGGAAGTCTATTGTGAAGAGAAGGAGATATTATATGTAGTACTACAGGTATTGATTTCTTAAAAAAACCAAACATTTGGGCAATACCATATCTGCTTTAAAGAGTTGCATGTGTTAGGTGATGGGTAATCTCAAGGTTGCCTCCAGAAATTAATGAAGGAAGGAAAGAGTCCAGGCTGAGCTGGTTGAGAGGATCCTGAATGGATAAATACTGCCCTGTTACAGGAGAGGCTGGCACAAGCTGCAGCTCCAGGAGCTCAAAAACTACTGCCCTTCCAGCACCCTGCGTGCTTCCTGAATTGTGAAAGCAGGTTTTCATACCTGAAGCACTTTCAGCTTCCAGGAGAGCAGGCACGAGCCAGTGCCTAGTACTCTTGGAATTCTCAACGTCAGTGTGTTGCTTATGTTTCTGCTCTGAACTTTAGAGCTGGCAGCGAGCAAGAGTGTGTGCTCTGAGCAGGGTCAGGGGTTCCTCTTCCCTGTGAGGACCCGAAACTTCTGCTTGCGTGAGGGCAATACATTTCTAGAGCATACCCTGGGAAAGGGGATGCAGCCATCCAAAGAGAAGGACCTTGCTAAATTGCATTAAATGTAGCTTCTCTCTTGCTGTGAGAGCTCGTGGGAAAACAAGGGAGGGTCCTGGAAACTCAAGGATTGCAGGACTGGTAAACCTGGCAAAGTCACTACCCTTGCACTTATGCCTGTAAAATCCTGATACAGCAGCGTGACCATTTCAGAGGTTGTTCAAAACTGGGCGGGGGGTAAAACTTCAAGTACCACTTTGCCACATTTCATTTGATGTCAAATTGGTTGTTTAGTTTTTCCCCACAAGAGACTCCACCTCCTTTCAAAGTCCCCTTAAAACCTGTAGAGATTTTATCCCAGCGCGACTCCTGCCTCGCTTTTAGTAGTTACGCAGGGAAAGAAAAGCAAATGTCCTCAGTCCGGCTGCAGAGGATTCAGACACCTGGTTCTTTGGAAAATCCCTGCCCTGGAAAAGGATTTCCACTTGGATTGAAGTGTTTTATGGCTTGATACTTCTACTTGTATTTTCTTGACCCTAAAAGTAATCTAAAGGAAGACACCACTTGTCACCGACCTGGAAAACACCTTCCTTCCCTCCATCTTTTTTCTTCCTTTTTAGAGGAAAACTAAAATTAAGGGAGAGAGTTGTTTGTTAGGTTTTACTCGTCAAGTGGAGGTTAAAATGCCAGGGAAGAAGGAGGACGCCCTTGGCATCGCTCATCTCCTCCTGGAACTGCATTGCATCACTTGGAAAACAGGATGAGAGGATGAGACACCTCAGCCTGATGTCTTTTTAACAGCCCTTAGTTACATGCATGGAAATTCATACCACCAGCATCTACTGCAAGAAAATGAGCAGATGCCAGAAGATTTTCCTTTACACTTAGACGAAGAAGAAAACCACGGGCATGTTGTCTGTTTTTAATGCCAGCAATGTTTCGCAGGCTGACTCCCTCGAGGACAGTGGCAACTGGACGTGGGTGACCCAGTTCACCCAGCCAGGATGGAGAATTGCTTTGTGGGCTATCACCTATTCCTTCATCGTTATCACATCCATCGTTGGCAACGTCACCATTATCTGGATTATCCTCGCACACAGGAGAATGAGGACCACTACCAACTACTTCATCGTGAATCTGGCTCTTTCGGATCTGCTGATGTCTGCTTTCAACACCATCTTCAATTTTATTTATGCCAGTCACAACGTCTGGTATTTTGGCGAGGAATTCTGCAGGTTTCAGAA